GTTCTCTTTCCCTGGCCCCCTGACCCCCTGACCCCGCCCCCTAATCCGCCCCCGCGGTCTCTCGGGTCCTCTCGCTCCTCTCCTCCGCGCCATCTTCTGCGGTGTCCTCCGTCTGCTCCACAGAATCTGAAGGACGCAGCTCACTGGTTGGGCTACACGTACCTGTACGTGCGCATGTTGAGATCCCCCGCATTGTACGGAGTGCCGCCGGCGGACCTGGACACGGATCCGCTGCTGCAGGTAGAAAAACGTGTGTGTGTATGCGCTCTTTCCTCCTCTGTCCTTCTTCCCGACACACCTGATCCCGTCATGTCATTTTGATGCATCTTCCCGGACCCCCTCCTCCCTCTTCCCCCTCCCACCATACACACACACGCACGCATGCACGCACACCCACAAGCCCCTCCTCCCCATCTCCCCAAACGAAACGCTCCTCCTCCCCTTCCCCCCCATTTTAGGAGAGGCGACTGGATCTTGCCCACAGCGCTGCCCTGCTTCTTGACAAGCACTCCCTCATTCGGTACGACAGGAAGACCGGTAACTTTCAGGTGAGCCAGGGGACAAGAAAGGGGGGGGGAGGAGTTGAGGGGGTGAATGGGGGTGAGGGGGAATGGTGGCGGGTTGGTAGAGATGGTGGCGAGGCATGTGTGTATGTGTGTGTGTGTTTTGTGATAGAGATTCCCCTCAACGGCCCCGCCCCCGGCAACCCCCCCCGGCCCCGGGTTTGCACTGCACCCGGGGGTTCCCTGCGTCTCATACATTTGAAAATAATCAATAACCCCATCTCTTGTGTTTGGCTGTCCCCACCCTTCCCTCCCTTTGCCTTCCTGTCCCGCCTGTCTCCCCGGACCTGCCCGCGCCTGTTTGTTTGTCTGTCTATCTGTTTGTCTGTCTGTCTGTCTGTCTGCACAGACCACGGACCTGGGCCGCATCGCATCTCACTACTACGTCAGCTACACCACCATCGCCCACTTCAACGAGCACCTCAAGCCCACCATGACGGATATCGAGCTGCTGAGGCTGTTCAGTCTGGCGGAGGAGTTCAGGTGGGGGGCGGTGCGGTGCGGGTGGGCTCTCTGTGTGTGGGTGTGGGTGGGTGGGGGGCTGGGGGTGTGTGGGGGGGGTTGTGATTGCATTTCCTGCCCCCCATACA